TTCCTCTTAATCCCTCCCCAGTTTCTGATGAGGTGGACATGATAACCCTTAATACACATAACCTTATTCATCCCTACAACAGGAAATACTTTTTCCCTAACCTGATATGAAGTGTGCGCTGCACATGTGAGCATTTTTGATGATGGCCTCCGTCCAGTCCTTTGGTCTTATCACATTTAACCATAGTTGTCTTTGTTTTTGTTGACGGGCAGTGGCGGCTGGTTTTGAGCCATGACTCCTTCTATTCTGGCTCCCAATAACACAACAAGACAAACACATTTTAACGCTCCTATGGAGCCTACAGCCCTGTGGGGGAGAGGCAGGTTTTAATATCCAAAGAACTTCTATAAGAATAAACTACTTGGCAACTAGACCAGGCTCCTAATTGAGACAGGCCTTTATTTGTCAAAATGTACAGCCACACCGGGCTAGTAAAAGAGACTGGGCGTTTAATTGAAGTTTTTACGGTATATAAAGTCTTCTCTTGTTGCTCTTTGTGCCTGGATGCCTGTGACAGCCTGAAACACTGTTTTTAAAGCTCGTCTTTGTTGGGTCATACACCCCAGTTTGTCAGTAAAGTGAGATTATTGGACTTTGAATACAGAGAATGAATAAACACAACCTCAATTGCCCCACGAGGAATTTGCTTAGCAACATCTGAGCATAACAGAGTTTCAAAAACACATCAACGACAGCGCAAAACATGGAAACAAGCATCATAAAAACATCATAAAACGTTATAAAGAGGTCGTCGCTGAAATCAATAAGGACATTAGGAGCCGGTTACAGTCCATGTGATCAGAGCTTGCTTGGGACAGAATAACTAACTCACTGTGTTTACTGTGCAGTGTGTGTGTGTGTGTGTGTGTGTGTGTGTGTGGTGATCAGGTTGTGTTTGGGCGAAGTCTAAACAGGCGTCTGATCCTGTGAGCTTCATGTGAGCAGCTCTCTGTGTGCCGTCAGTGCTCACAGAGCTGTTCAACACAAAGACTGTTTCATCTTCTGAACTTATTTGATTAAATTTCTGCCAAAGAGGCTGAAACATTTTTCACTATTCATAAGAAAAAGCACAAATTTAAGAAAATATGTCCTGAAAATATCTAAAATTCTGATGTCAATTGAGTTCAGCTAATAAAAAGCTTTATGTCTTTAATTCATGTTTGCGAGGTTCATAAATCTTGCCAGGTTTGTCTGAGCAGTTTTTATTTCCTGGTGAGGTCAGAAACCGTCCTCAAGAGAGCTCACAGTGTTTCTTTCGTCCACGTTAAACAGTTTTTAAAACGTCCCTCTGTCTGTGTCAAAGTTTGTGGTACGTCAGAGGTTTGCAGGTAGAAATGCTTGGTCAGCAGAAGAAGGTTTATGCTCCAGTTTTGACTGTAAAGCTTCAGTCATGTGTGTAAAGCAGCAGGATAACAAAAGCTCTTGACTCAGCAGGTTTGGTTCAGACACTTTGTCTCTGATCACACGCTCAGCAATAAAAGCTGAAGTATAAAACTCCCGCTCCAAACTGAGCCTCTGCTGTGTCATACAACATGTTACTGACCTACGGACACATCAGAGCTGTGAGCTGCTCCCAAGTAATGAACACCAGGGTTGGTTTATAATTTGTTTGTTTAAGTGCAGGACAGACCAAACTGAGGATTGTTAGCTGAATCAAATAAAAGATAGCAGTAATTTAAATATAAAGTTTTTGCTTCCTAATTTTCCCTGATTATTTGTGGCCCTAAAAATGCAGACTGCAGCAGTATTTTTATGATTTGAGATTATTTTTTAACGTTGTTTTGTCTGATTGAGTTGTTGCTGGATATTAGGAGACAGAACTGATGTCACAAACACGCAGGGCCTTTCCCAAACTGGACCCTACCCACTCCCACTCCGACTAGAGGTGTACCGATACCACTTTTTCCTTCCCGATACCCATTCCGATCCCTGAACCTTAGGTGTCTGCCGATACCGAGTACAGATCCGATACCAGCGCGTAAAATAAAAATGGATGGGATATGAATTGTTGTACGTCTCAACTCCTAAAACTCTGTAAAATATTAAGAAATAAATACATAATAGTAGAATGAATGACATAAAACTTTTTTAAATTATTATTATCCAGTGTTGACACAGATCAAGACACAGGTTAAAGTGCAGCCACACAATTTGGTAAAAAGACATTTTAAAGGCTACAGTAGAATGCTTTTTAAACTCAGCTCCGTTTCCGTTTAGTTTGCCTGTAGAGTGCGTATGAGTAATGACATGAGGCATTAAATGGTATCGGATTGGTCATAGGCTGTACTCGCCGATACCTGATACCGCATTTTAGGCAGTATCGGAGGCATTTACGATACTGGTATCGCTATCGGTACAACTCTAACTCTGACTCACGTGTCACTTGTTTGTAGTTAGCTTCACAGCTGAATGAAGCTCCTTCATCATGGTGTTGGGTGTAAATATAGCAGCAAGCTTTGGGAAACACTTCCCTCTCTGCGGCAGAAAAATAAGTTGTTGTTATATTTGGTAACCATGGAGAAAAATAAAATTACTCCCATTTTATATTCGTATTCAGTCATTCATTCGTTTTCCATAACTGCTTATCCTGTTAGAGTCGCTTTCCCAGCCTGTTCCAGTTGCCATTAGTAGTGAGGTCGGGTACACCTTGTACATGTTGCCAGACTATCACAGGGCTCACTCATAAGCCCCATTTCCACCAAACACCTAGACCCTAGCGTTTCCACCAAGCAGAGTGAGCAGAGTGACCGTCCTCTACTGACCAATCAGACTGCAGTGTTCACAGCTCCACCTTTTAGTACCAGATCTGTGTGCTAGGTACCCCAACAGAGGGGGGACCAAACATGGGGACAGTATGGAAACGGTTCCATTGGTACCATCAACAACTTTTTGCAGTGGAAACGGGGAAAAAGCGTACCGAACTGCTCAGTGGAAACGGGGCTACAGAGACAGTCAACCATTCACACCTACGGATAATTTAGAGTCACCGATTAACTTGCATGTTTTTGGACTGTGGGAGGAAGCTGGAGCACCTGGAGGAAACCCACGCTGACACGGGGAGAACATGCAAACTCCACACAGAAGGGCTCCCTCACCCTGGGTGTAAGGAACCCTCTTGCTGTGAGGCAACAATGCTAACCACTGCACCACTGTGCTGCACCATTTTATGTTCTTTATATGTTTTATTTGGTTCGTGCTGCTGCTCACAGGAATTCTGGTAGTGTATATTATCCTTTGGCCATTAAAATAAATAAATGAATCGACAAATAAATAAGTTAATAAATACACAAATAAATAAATAATACATAAGAAAGAATAAAATGTATCCCTGAGATTCATTGGCGACATTACTACTTTCATCATCTTCTCGTTTTTCACTCTGATGTTTATAAGCTGCTCCTGTTACACTATAAAATAAACTTGACACTGACTAGAGAGGTTTATATTTGAACCTAAATACAAGGTAGCCTTTAAGATGTTACTGTCTGTGTGACATATTGAATGTCTCTTAGTTTGAGCAGTTTACATTCCTCAGAGTAGTTGAGCAGAGCGTTATTTGCACCGAGCATCTTATGATGATGAACACAGTTCTGTGTTGTACATCGTCGAGAGTATTGGAGGGTTTTATAACACACTTCCACTCCTCACTTGTTGGTTTGGGATGGCACTTAACGTGGCGGACTCTCTGCATGAACACAGAAACGTAGTGGAGGTGGGTAGGGAGAGGGTGTAGAGGGTGGTTTGGGAAAGGCCCAAGGAGTTGACGCTTGTGTTCGAGCCCCAGATACTGATATTTATTTTAGACCACAGAAGCAGCAGCAAACATGAACATGTGACTTTACACACAGAGCCAGCTGATTACACTGTAAACATACAGCACTGTGTGTGTGTGTGTGTGTGTGTGTGTGTGTGTGTGTGTGTGTGTGTGTGTGTGTGATATCTGCACTGTGGTGAAGTGTGTTTTCACACACTGCTGACCAGGATAATGATTAAATGATTAAAAACATTAATCCATGATCAAAACAGTGCCGTGTCCATAATCAGTGAGGTGCAGCAGAGTTCAGGTGTGTGTGATAGTGTTTGCTTCCTGTTCACACACCTGAGGTTATGTGAGGTCACTCATCGTTGTGACCTGATCAAATTCTTATCACTTCTCTCTCTGCCGTCGTGTCACTTCCTCAAAGCTCCACTCAGCATTTCCTGTTTTTAACCACATGTTTACTGTGTCAGATCTTTGTACACACTCTGGTTCCTCTGCTGTATTTTACTTCCACATGTTGATTACACCTTGTTCTGCATCTGTCTGTGTTTACAGCTTTTAAATGAGACCGTCACCTTTTTATCGCTCCGTAGATGTGTGTGTTATTTTAAACCTAATATTTAAGGAGAGGTCTGCTGTGAGGTTGTTGGATTCAGGATGAAGAGCGAGCCCCTCACCTTGTTGTCTCCTCTTCCTCTGTCTCTGCTCCTCAGGTGAATGTGACCCTGGAGAAGGAGGTGGCGGGTTTCTGGGTGACTGTCCCCTGCCTGGAGGAGCTGGGCAGTTGTCACTATCCGGACGCTTGTGACATCCTGAACCAGCTGATCCCTCCTGGTCAGGACTGTCCTGAGCCGCTGCACACCTACGGCCTGCCCTGCCACTGCCCCTTCAAAGCTGTGAGTCATCTGTGTGCTGCTTATTGGTCGTTACAGAGACTATGGGACCAACAGGAGGTTTTAATGAGTGATGACGTATAATTAGTCCCAGGGGGAGCGTGTGGACAGTGAACAGAACAGGACCCAAAACTGGTCCTTGTGGTATTCCATGTTTTGACAGAGCAAATATTCCCCAACGGTGACAAAGTGTTTCCTGTTGGTTTTATGTTATAAACTTGGGTACATCATTAAGTTTGATGTATGCAGATTGTACGATGACAGCGGCTACTGAATCACAAGCTACGATATACGTCCATTGACGTCAATACGCAAGAAGAAGACATCATCAGCATGCGTCCTCCATCTATACACAAAAGAAAACATACTTATTATATTATATTCAGGTTCTGTCAGCACATCCTCCTAAATCCGACACACTGGACCAGAAGTATTATCATCATCAGTAATAGTTAATGTGTGGCTGGGCTGTACAGAGAGTTTGTTAGAGTCACAGCATGTCCTAATACAGTGTGTCCTCTATGTGTCCTCTGTGTGTCCTCAGGGCTCGTACTCTCTGCCTCAGTCAGACTTCTACCTGCCCTACATGGATCTTCCCTCCTGGCTGACCAACGGGAACTACCGTGTGCAGGGCATCCTGGGTAGCCAGGGCAAAGAGCTGGGCTGCCTCAAAGTGGCTCTGTCCCTTCACTCCGACTAAACCAACGCTGCCGCCGCTGCCGCTGCCGCTGCCGCTGCCGCCGCCGCCGCCGCCGCCGCTGCTGCCGCCGCCGCCGCTGCCGCCGCCGCCGCTGCTGCCGCTGCTGCAGCTGCTGCAGCTGCTGCAGACACTCGGGAGGTTTCAGGTTGTCGTTTATTTGCACATAAACCAGTCAAAAAATTGGGAAACAAAAGCAGAAGTTGCACAAAGTGTGAAACTGAGAAACTTCACAGGGTTTATTCAAGTTTTTTTATGATCGACGACGGTGAGAAAAAAAGACGATAAGCTCATTTCAAATTTTTGACGCACAGTTCTTTGGGAGAAAGATGAGACAGATATTTTTGGGAAAAGAAATCTAACAAATCGTCTGACAACTGCAGATAAAACTAATAACAGACGAACAATGTTCACAGAGTCCTTTAACCATCAAACATGGTGCAATACAGTGATTTTTTACTGGTGTACACAGAAACAATATTCACCTCTGTCTCTGTTCACACAGACTTCAGCTTCACTGGAAATTAACAGCTACTTTGCATGAAAGTGACGCTTTAACATCATCACATGCAAACACTGAGAACCACAGGGAATATATCACAAATACTTTTACTTTGGGAGGTTTGATGTTTGGTTCTTCCACTGTTTATGGGTGTATTTACTGTTATAGAACGTGAAACATGTTCGATGTATTTCAATCAGAAACATTGATCCTTTTTAAAAATCTATAAGTAGACTTTTATTTCAACTTATAGTCAGATATAAATTAAGTTTATGTCCAGGACATCATCCAGGACACTTCACAGTTTCAGCCTCTGATGGCTTTGAGACCTTAATAAAGTTGTTCACTGACTCAAAGTCAAAAACAATCGCATAAACATTCTGCCTTTATTGTGTGACAGTGTGACGTCACAGTGCGACCAAGAGATGCCAAAAAATATCTTAAATTATCCCATCACATGAACCCTGTTGTGCCTCGCTGCTGAAACGTTGCTTCATTTCTGTTCATCCACAGAGAAAAAGAATCAGAATTATTCAGTGTTTCAGATTATTGGAGACAATTAGCCGATAATCAAATCAGATCAACGGCTGAATCCAGACGTCCGCACTTCACTGCACTTGCAGATTTTGCGGGCGGGTTCTCGGGAAGTCTGGGAGTGCTGAGGGCTCTGAATCCACAATTCATCCAGTCCATGAGGGGCCTGAAGATACAGACTGAATTATTTACCCACAGTTCATTGCAATACGGACATGATGTTGAGTTTTTTTTTTCAATTGACTGACTGAAAACCAAGACAAACATATCATGACCGTAAAACAATTATTGGATTAAAATGTTACTTGAATCATGTAGGTCAGAAATAATATTAAACCACAATATGATACAGAAATATGTAGAAGCAGAGGCCATAGAGGGATTAAAATGCTTTTCATTATAGCAGCCTAACTTTATAATAGCTGTGCAGTGTAGTGCCAAATATATAGGCTCGGAAAATTAGCCAAAAATAACAACAAACAAAGGTCCAATGTAACTTACACCCGGTGTAATCAGTCATCGTGCGGCCCTATTTACTAAAATGTCCGTGTTTGTACAGCGAGTCTCTGTTGTCGCAGACTTTACATGATGACAGTGAACACATCACAGTACAAACACCTGAAGTCCAGAGGGCAGACGTTTAGATTCAGTCTGATCTGACATCACATGTGTCAAAGACTTTGAGTCAAGGTTTTGTTTTTTGTAATGGATAAATCCATGTAGCATCAGCTCTGTTAAAATAATAACATCCTTCATACATGCTCATGTGCTCATGTGCTCTTTCCTCTGTGTGTGATTTTGCTTTTTTAAAATTGTTTTCATTTCAGTTATTAATTGTTTCTTTTTTTACTTCTTTAATGGGATGTTTTTAAAAAAAGGGGTCAGTGAATCACTGCTGGGAATAAAAACGGCATATTCATGTAGTTTAACTGATCGTAGCCAATATGGCATATTTTTTATTGATCTCTGTTTTTACCGAGTGCCTGATCAGATCTTTACGAGGAGTTAGTGAATCGATGCTGTAGAAATGAACAAAAGAGGAAAAGAAATCAGGTCGTTATGATTTTAATTTGTTCTAAATGTTCAGTGTTGATAACGACGACGACAGATTATGTTTGTACAGTTTTTAATAAACATTATCTTATAGACGATGTTTGTTTTCATGTGTTCAGATACTTTCAAGGGGGGGGGGATCACCAGAGGCACCATGATACCATATTATTACGATACTTTAATTAGTTTTGCCTTGACATATATTGCAATTCATTACCTTTATGTCAACTGCAAATTCTGTCCCCAGAAGAAAACTGTCAACAGTTTTTATGTAATAAGATGACGTTTTCAGTCTGTTCAATTCACTTCAGTCATTTTATTGGGATAAAAATGTGTCTAGTGGACGGAAAAATGAAATGATTTTATTATTCTCGCAGGCTGCCAAAAGTTTTATCTGCATTTGCAATATTCTTAATTTATGAAATTTAAAAAATGACACCTGGTGTTCATGTATTGATACAATATTGCCGCCCAAATTACACAATACAATACTGTATTGATATTTAGAAAACAGATTGTTGTGATATTGATGGGGAGATAATTCTACATTGTTAAAAAAAACACATATTTAAAGTTTGAAAAGGTTTCAGTGATTAATATTCATTAAGTTTAATAGAATGAATTTTCAGACATAAAAAGTAGAAACAGGATTAAACTTGTGGTTTTGGAGGTTGAAGTCCTACGTTCAGCTGAAAGTGTTTGTGTCCCACAGTTTTAGGGAAATGATCCCAAATATACCAACAAGACAACCGAGGACTTCTTCTTTTGTTTTAATGTCAGCAGAACAGTGAAACGTTCCTGACCGTCAGCTGAACTCAGACCAGACTGAATACACACATCCCCTAAAACAAGCAGGAAGTGAAGCCGTTACTGTCAGTGTGTTTCCTGTGAGAAACGTATTCAGAACATAATAATGATTCCTATATGATCAATGTGTCAGTGGAGATTCATCATACTGATCAGAAGAGACTTTAATCTGCAGCTGTGAAGGAGCAGCTCCATGTTTCACCACCAGGTGGCAGCACTTCCTCTGACGTTTACGCTGAAGTATTCACTTAGTTAAACAGCACTGCTCCTCACTGCTGACACAACAGGTGCTAATAATACAACACTACATGAAACTAAAAAAATTGCACTGGACCAAAAGCCAAAAAACACTTTTCACTGTTATTCTTTTGTGATTTAACAAAAAAAGTCTTCTGTAACAAACCTAAAATGAATATAAACTGAATATCTTGCAGAAATCATAATTCATTTATTTCATTCAACCCATGTTTAATCAGGTAAATCCTGTTGAGATCAACAGTCTCTTTTACAAGGGAGATCTGGCCAAGACAGCGGTACACAAAAAGTTAAAGCCAAACAACAAAAATCATAAAAGATGTACAGTAATATAGAAAATATTAGAACACATACACATAATGACAAGAACCAAACAAATTCATTCAACCTTGTCCTTATGAGAGCTTAAAAAACAGGCAGAGACCAGTTTCATGTAGTTTCAAGCTTTCTCTCTCAGCTCAGTCCGTGCACTAGGAACAGACAGCACAACTCAATCTAATAACACAATGTCCTGTTTTCTATATTATCACGAGCAGGGACGGGCAGTATTTCTATTACTTGTATTTAAAATACATATTTCAATTACATTTGAGTATTTTGTAATGTGTATTTGATAAGGCCGATAAAAAGCAAATGTAATTTGTAACAAAATACTTTTAAGTGGAGTAATTTTGTATTTAAAATACTCAAAATACTTTCTCCATGCATCAAAAACCAAAAATAATAGGCTACACATTCTTATAATATTAGATGCAACAATATTTTTTACTCATATATATATATATATATATATATTATCTCTATGTTTTTTTTAAACTTGGGCCGTTCAATGTGCCCTTCAGTGACCTAGTGGTCTGTTTTACTGGACTGTGCATAACATAGGAAATTGTATGTTGTTGTGGTTGATGCTTGGGATGAGTATGCTACGAATGAATTGCCTCATGTGGGATCACTAAAGTTGTCTGAATCTAAATCTGAATCAATAAATAATATTTTAAGGTAGCCTACACCCAACTGTGAGAAAACAAACACAAATTTGCAATAGCTGCGACCAAATTTGCTGCTATCACGTCATTAATGGAAGAATCATGATTGTTCTTTCTAGTATAGTTACTCATGCTCTCTAATTGCAGTATGCAAATTTTGACCATTTTTGGTCAAGGACTTTTTGAGTTATTCATGAAAAGCTTTGTGGACCAACCGACCGACCGACAGAGTGACCTATAGAGCTGCGAGTCGCTGCTAAAAAGAAAAAGAAAAAATTTATTTTCTGTATTTGAAAATACAAAATACATGTATTTTATTTTGATTTATTTGAGCGGTATTTTGTATTTTGTATCAAAATACATTTTGATGTATTTTTGCCCATCTCTGATCATGGGAGCACTTCAGTTAAAAATGCAGCGGTGCATGTTTGACAGGAAGCAGCTGAGAAACAGGATCAAAGTGAGGAATTACACCTGACGGAGCAAACACATGCAGTCACACAGCTGGACCTCATGAAGATGAGGACTGTGTGTGTCATAAATAAACATATACAACTGTGGATGGATTACTGAACAGGCCCAAAGACTCCAAGCTCACTGAAAAATAATCTGCACAGAGTCCAGGAACATAACGATGAAGTACAGCAGTGATACTGAACTGGGTGGCTCCTCATCCACTTTCTAAATCACAATAAAAATGAACTGATCCACACTGGAAATTGTTTTGTACTTTTAATCTACATAAGGTGCCATTAAAAAAGCATTAAAATAGAGCTTGTTTATCTAAAAGAGTGCCACAGGAAGCTCTCCGCTCAGACTGGGGCCCCAAATGGCCTCAAATCCTATCAACTGCAACTGGCCCCTGGCCTCCAGTCATTTAGCAAAAGTGGCCCCCAGACCAAGCAACTAGAGCGTCCCTGAACTACAGGATGTTAGTGTTGCTCACATGTGTTTTCAGCCGGCTGCATCTGGTTCTGTTCATTAACTCTTCCTCTGTGGTTTCATGAGAGATGAAAGACCAAGTGAGAGCGACTGAACCTCCAGAGAAGAAACAAACCACAGCGTCCAATCAGGTTTAACCTTTCTCTCTGTGTGCATGAGTAATGAGCAGACCTGAACCTCTGATGGAGTGACCTCTCTCCTCCGACCACCACCAGCACTGAATGAATTAAAATTAAAAAATCAAAGTACAGTCGTCTGACGCAGCAGCCGCGCAGCATGTGGCTTTGATTCAGGAGAACATATCCTGCCAGAACTACAGGACTGTACATGTGTTCTTCATCCTCTGTAGGAAAACACAAATCAACATGAGGAACAATGGTCAGAAGTCACTGATTATTAAAATAACTGGAACAGAGCAGTCAACCTCTGGACTCTATCAGAGACCAGGGCTTAGGGTGGATTACACAGCAGAGGACGGCAGGTTGGGTTCAGGTTGAAGTCAGAGGAGACAAAACTCGATCCTCTTTCTGATCAGCACCAGTCATACCTGGAGGTTCTGATCAAACTGGTTTATTTTTGACCTGCTGAGTGTTACACAGTGACAGTGATGAGGCCTCAGCAGACAGTGTGTTCAACTGTTGGGTGTTCCTCCTGATTTCTGCACCTTACTGCCCCGAAACACTGCAGATAACAGTAAGCTCGTACATTTGCTTCTGTGTGAGAAGGTTTAAGGCAGCACTGTGTAAGACTTAAGGCGGATTTATACTTGTGCGTCAGCTCTATGCAGAGCCAGTGCTGTTGTGAGCATTTATACTTGTGTGGTGGTGTGTCTGTGTCACTCTGCAGTTACACCTCCTAAACACTAGTTGGAGGCGGGGTTTCTGTGAAGTGCTGTAAAGTTTAGTTGATTCAAAACACACATTAAACACACATTAAACATGGCTTAATAGAGACAGTTTCAAACACAAATCAGCTTCACTATAACTCGCAGCATTCACAGACAAACACTTGTCTTTATCTGGACACATTTTCCCCACAAATACAACATGCTAACATTATTAGCACAAGCCTATGGCATTTTACATTGTATGAATTAGCCTAGCGACCAGCGGACTTTTCCCCGACTCATATGAAGACAGGATAAATCACACACAAGATTTAAAAAGAGGTTTTACTGTCTTCACAATTTATTGTTTCTTATCTGTGAAATTAAAGTAAATAAAAGTTTCCACTGAGGGAAATGGTTTCAGCTTACAGAGACAGACAGGAGGTCTGCGTCACCGCAACGTGTAGTAATGCCGCATTCGTTTGGCAATCCAGGCCAGTCATTCCTTGTCGGATTTATATGACCGTATGACACGTCTGATCTGAAAGCGTTTCATTGCAACAGTCCAGAAAACATGGCGGCGCGCCGTAAGTTTGTTTTTGTTTGCATGGTTGCTGAGCAACGGAGACTTTGCTGGTTCAAACGACTTTAGGCTACAACGGGCTTGCACAGACTTTTTTTTCCAACACAAATCAACAGTGGAAACAGAAATGCCATTGCAAAGTACTTCTATGATTTTTACAACACAAACGCTTAATTAAACAGCGTATACGAGGACAAATAACTTTGTTTACCATTCACAATGTGTGCAGCCATCTTTGTCGTGACGTCAATTCTACCGACTCGGTCTACCTGGACCTTGCCCGAGTTTGATGACGAGACCTCCAGGTAAAACAGGTGTTCTTTTGTACCTTTCCGGACCGGAAACCATATCAATCCCGGTTCCGGCTACCAATAGAATGCAGCATTAAATTTCTGGGGAGGTGCACATCAGGCTATGGCGTAGGCTCTGGTGTTGGCTCTGCATCATTGCAGACATAAAGCCTCCAGCCATCGCCAGCGCTGAGGCTTAAAAAAATGTGTTTTTCCAATGCTGTTCGTCATGGAAGAGTCGCTAACTACGATGAATGACATAAACATATAAAACATAATAAAATAAAGGTGCTTCAGAGGCAAAAAAAAACTAAACACGTCCCATTTTTACATTTTTATTTCTGTCACTGCTCGATCAACATGGTCGATCAGACCGTGAAATCAGTGAAAGGTGCACAAACCCTCTGAG